CACGCTTGCATCTTTTTCTTATCTTTTGGTTAGTATGGTCAATACTATAAAAACATATGAGTCATAAAAAAAACTTCTCCCGCCATGCAGGATTGACTAGCATAAGTATTATGCTAAACTTCTTCACATGCAGGATAAATCTCTATACAAACATGTATGCTTAATCCAACGTTGGTCAAATTAGACATGCATGTTACTTATTGCAACTCTTATCATAATAATGGAAAAATATATATTATTTACTGTAACGAAAACTTAGTCATGACGACTAAAACATTCACTTATACTTTATTTTCCAATTAAATCTTTTCGTTGGTTTCAATTTAATCAGAAAATTAGCAAACTAACAAAAAATAGTCCTGAACTGACTTAACTCAAGCCTTTTCATTCACATAGCCTAGTATTACAGCCTGTTGACTTGCAGCCGAGTGATCTCATCGGCTAAAATTAAAACATACAAGGTGCTTATACATCAATTCTATATCACCGTTAAGCAGAAAATAGAATTAATGCGTAAAATTAATAAATTAACTTGAAGGACATATAACTACTCTTCAAAATTTATTTTTCTCGTTGGCTCGAATTTAATTAGAAGATATTCAACATCATTACAACGGAAACATGATAATAAAATATATTCTATTAGTTCAACAGCATTTCTTGGTCCTTATCTACTCTCTGAAAAATTAACCACGTTGGTGTAAAATTTATCAGAGATTTAAACTTCAAACTTAAACTCATTATAATATTGTTATCATCAACGTTGCAAAGAAAAAGAATAATATCATAATTAAACTTAAACAAATAGGACTACTCCACCAATTTAAATTTTCCCGTTGGTTCCAATTTAATTAGAGGATAAACATAATCATAATTTACTGAATAAATATAACTGCTCCTCAAAATAAATCCTCCCGTTGGTTCGAATTTAATAAGATAATAATAATTAACTTTACAGCGAAAAACATGAAAAATATAATTTATCTATATTTCAGAAGCATTTCACTATACTCATCTACTCTCTGAACAATTTATCCTGTTGGTTTAAAAATTGAATAGAGATGAAAAACTAATCTAAATTCATCAAAATTTGCTTTTGAAAATAATAAACCTTAAAACAGGCCCTTATGTTCATTTTGGCCCAACCGAGAAAAAGTCGGCCCGCGGCCCATCTCGCCCGCACGCCCGCTCGCGTGGTCCAGCGCGCTGCCATACTGGAAACCGGCCCATGGCCTATTTGCGTGCTGCGCGTTTTCGCGTCCCAGGCCGCAACCTAGGCCTAGGCCATATTCGGTCCGAGCGCTGCGAGCCGTCGATCGTGATCCAACAGTCGTGCGCGAGACTCGGAGTAACAAAACCCCGATGCCTACCTCCTCCCCCGAACCCTTAACTCATTTTCACCCTTCCCTCCTCTCTCTTCACCGTAGAGGCGACAGCAGCGGCGATCATGTTGGCCTTCGGCGCCGGTGAGGAAAAGCGTCGTCGGAGCAGTTCCGGCTACCCTTCCTCTTCTTTTTTCTCGCTCCCCTTCTCTTCTGTTCTAGCCCCGCAACCATGGCGAGTAGATCTAGGGGAACGGATACGTCTGCTCATGGTGACCGGACAGGCGTGGCGCCGCCGCTGCGGGGCCCCTCGCCGGAGCGCGTGCTCGCCCGAGGCTAAGTGGTCTTGTGGCGACACCCTTGACTCCCGAGCCCGATGCGGAGGTCGCGCGGTGGCGTGACCGATCGGCGCCAGCAATTCGGGTGCTCTTCCCGCACAACATCGGAGCAACGCCGACGGTGACAACTGCGATAGGTAAGCCCCTCGGTAGGCCCCTATCCTCTCCGTCCATCTTCTAGGGTTAGGGTTTAACTCGACTGGATTTGTTCGTTTCGATTCATCTCCTTCTAAATGCTAAAATTTAGACTACCCCAAAATAGATCCGCACACCAACCTGGCTCTCCCAAAACGCAGTCGCGGCCATCTATTGATAGAATTTATAGGACCTCTAGGTGTAGATTTAGCGGGTGAAACTTAACTTAGACAAAGAACTTGTCGATGTACCTCCCAAAGCGCAGTCGCGGCCATGGCGCCGCAGCGACGTGGCCTCGAGTGTCGAAGTAGAGGTAGCTGTGCAGAGGCGCGATCCAGTGGCGGTGACTAAAGCGGTGGCGCTTTTCGTCGCTCACAGCGCGCTCTCTCGATCGGACTAGGGTTAGAACATCGGTGGGGCGCTGGCGGCTGCGGTGAACCTCGTATCTCGAGCCCCAGCCCCCACCTCCTATTCATAGCGTTGCACGACAGAGGCCCACTAGCCAGAAGAACGGCTGAGCGCCCCCAATCAAAACGCGAGTCAGAATTTGACTCAGTCGTTGGACCGAACTGGGTGGAGATCAATCTAACCATTGCAGGCCTCGCCAAGTCGCCAACCCCAAGGCCCCGGCCGCTGGCTTTGCTTTGCTGCCCGTCGTCTGGGCCTCCGAGCCCCCTGCCGCGCTCGCGTTCTTTATTGCGAGATCAAAAGAAAAGCGAATCCGATGTGCTTGCGCAGCATAGCAAGCAAACTAGCAAAGCATCCACAGTCCACAGGTCCACGAGCGATGATGATTGATCACCATTCACCACACCCATCACTGTAGCGTGAGCGTAGTGGAGTAGTGTATTGACTACTGGATTATCCACGTGCTTACCACTGTAATATTCTTGCATTCTTTGATGATTGCCTTGTCAGACACTCAGACTTGAGATGCTGCAGCCTTGCAGGTGCTACAAGGGATCGGTTCAGGTCAACGAAACCATCATACTATCACGGAGTTCGCCGGATTTGGTGCGCAACATTCAACTCTAAGCTACCAGTAGTACATTACGAGAAGCTGGTAAAACTACAGAAACGACATGGCAGCCACCAGGCAGGAGAAGAATATCCATCCGACGCAGAAAACCACAGCGTTGACAGGAAAGCTCCAATCCCGTCACAATTACCAACACAACACAAGCACCGCTTGCTTTAATCAGCCTGTTCGCTGGTTGGTGTCTGGGCTGATAAGCCCGGCTGATTCGATGTATTGTGAAAAAAAAACATTATTAATTGACTGATAAACCATGACTTAAACCAACAAGCAAACATGCTGAATAATGTTAAAGCGACCAAAAGCTTTCACTTCTTCACTAAAGCAGCTGTAGTCAACCAGTGATACTACCTCTAAGAATTCAGAACAGCAGGAACAGAACATCTCTCCCGCACCGGCCGGGAATCACGCTCACGTGTCACGCCTCCCGGTAACCATCCAGTGCTACTGCTACGTGCGGCTAGGTGTTCTTTAGCACGGGGGTGGTGTCAGCGATGAAAGTAGGAGAAGCGTTGAGGGAAGAGATGAAAGGGAGAAAGAAAAAGTCCAGGCGAGAAAAGGCCAAAAAGGAAGCGTAAAACGAAAGGCCTCCCCGTCAAGATTCTACTGCTGATACTGAGATATACTCCACGTACTGCTGCAGTGCGTCTAAAGCTAGCAGATGAGTGAGGGCAAAGCGAAAGGCGGATACGTATAGTTTCAAAAAAAAAAAAAGAGGGATACGTACGACGGCCCCGGGTTCCAGCCGCCTTTGCGCCGGAGAGACAGGGCGTTCCGTGGACAAAATCTAGCGCGATTCCTACGTACGTGCGCGCTGGGTGCTGCTACGTGTTCGCACGCGTGCGCGTGGACTTCGGATCCTCAAAAACAAGCCTTGGATTCGCGGCATTGCCACACTCGCCACTCGGCACGGTTCGAGAGAACTTTCTTGGCATTGGATTCGGCGGCTGCAGTTACGGGTACAACCACGACTACGGCTACGAGCGTGTGCCTGCGCAGCTCCTCCCTTGAGCCGGCTGCCTAGCGATACTAGTGTCATGCTACTAGTAGAAAGTAGATGGTCATGATGTCAAACGCACTAACCACTGTTGCAGCTCGCAATGAGACTTGAGACTAGCGAAGTCAACAATGAACGGAGTCGTGCTCCCGCTGTCGACTGTCGTGCAATCAGTTTTGTGATGGAATGGAGGAGTATATATTCATTCACGTGCGTCCTGGTCCCCCGAGCTCGCGACGATAGCGACCCCCTAACTACACCTCACGTCCCCATCCTTTTCCCCGAGTTTCCTCCCTGTGCATGACGACGAGCAACATTTCCCGGCACTTTCTGCGCGCCGGCAGCTGACGAGAAGTGTCGTTCGTTGCCCCCGCTCCGCGACACAACAAAAATGTCTGCACCTATCCCTGCAGTGTTTTCAGCCTTGCCACACAGGCATTCATGGCTACCAACCGTCGTCCTCGGCGCCTCCCTCCAGGCCGAGCGCGGGTTAATGCCAGCGGGAGTTGGAGTGAATGCACGCCGAGGCGAGGCAGACCTCGGTTTCACGGGCTGACGGCGTCGGCGTCGGCATAGGATGATAGGAGTAATGGGAGAACAGGACAGGAATACACGCACACGGCCACGAGCCTACGAGCGCAGTGGCATGGCATGACAGCTGGCACTCGCATACACGCACACGTTTGTACGAGCCAAATTATTGCTCCGAACAGGGCGTGAGCCCTGAGAACGAGTCGATCCTCAATCACATTCCCCGGCAGCTCAGGCCTTCTGCACTCCGAGTAGGTACGTGTTTGTACGCGCCAAATTATTGCTCCGACTCCAAATGCACATTTAAGTGAGCCCTGAGAACGAGAGAATCGATCAATCTCAATCACATTCCCCGGCAGCTCAGTTATCTGGTCTTTATGATCACAGTGCGGCTCAATTATCTTTTTCTGAGCGAAGAACATGCTATGCTCCCATGCTCTGCAAGCATCTGGATTAATTAACGGCGTTAACCTGGGAGCAAGCATTCAGGATTAACGGCCTTAACCTGGGAAAAGAATTCTTCCATTTTCACGAGGAGGCATCGGTACACCACAGCTGCACAGGCCATCTTCGGCAGCAGCAACGTCGACAACACCTTGTCGTCAGCTAGTACATCTTCCCTACCAGGCTAACCCTACCCTCTAGTACGCTGCACTCCTTCGGTGACTACTGTCTGACTGTAATTTCACTACGTCAGGATCCTTCTTATTATGAACTGGATGGAAGAAAGAAGAGAGGCTACTAGTAATCAGGCAGGCTGATCTAAAGACCAGACGACACCCAAAAGGGCCCCACGTTGCCTCCTTGACGAGCGGCTTCACCTTGCGCCTGTGCCCGAAGCTGTTCACCAGGTCCTTGCGCGCGCACACGGGGAACAGGTGCACGCCGGGCGGCCTCAGGCGCCTCAGCACGTAGGGAAAGCTCAGCTGATCCCGGGACGTGAACCTGACCACCTCGTTGAACCAGGTGCACATGAAGAGGTTGGTCAGCGGGGCGTGATCCCTCACGATCACTGAAGCTTCTGCCAGAGCTGTAATAAAAGGCAAAAAGAAATTGGATTGGTCATTGCTATGAACAGGTCGTCGAGGACCACCACTGGGAAAGGATATGCATATGCATGAACTGAAATCCTCAATTCTGAAGCGAAACATTATTGCAGTGGTTCCCGTTTTACCAAGCCCACAAGTGGGGCTAGGACGGGCGAATGGGCGATGGGGCTGGAATGCGTGTGAGGCCCTTTGCTCTGTATCACTGGTTCAGGGGCAGAAAAGGACCTTTGCTTTTATGCTAAACGCATGCAACTGGCCCAGCTTTATTACTTGTGCCTTTTGCACAACTACAGCTAAGCAGTTGTACACTTGTACTACACGTTTGTTTCATGAACACCAAGCATGGTCGCCCACAGTATTGGATGTTATTCTATTTATTACTAAAGTGCTTTTGAGATTCAGCATCCCAAGTTCCTGTCCACAGGTGTAAACTGTTAATGCTACCATGGTTCTTACAGGGACTACTTATATAAAGCGAAAAAATGATGAAATCAGGTTCTGAGTAATGCTTCACAAAAAAACAGACAAGTAATGTCGACATGTAAACCAGGGAGCCCAAACAAGTCAAGAGACTTCACACATACCAAAATATGCGAGAGCGCGAAGTAAAAGGAGACATAAAAAAAAGTTTCAGATGCAAACAACGGTATGCATGTTGAGATTAGAAATGAACCTTTCTTTCCATTGAATCTTTTCTCATCAGGGATGCCATCTTGTCGGTACTGATCCAACTGCGCTTCAACTTCTTCTGAAGTTGCTTTGTGTTTCTTAACAATTGCTTTTGCCTCGTCGTACAGGCTACTCCGAGCTCCATGTTCAGATAACGCTAAAGAAGAGTTTGAACGCCACAGAAGGGCTTCAAGGACTCCCAATGGTTCTCTCCGGAACTGAGATTTTGAATCCACCCAAATTGAGTACCGCGCCATGGGGAAAAGGCGATGGCTTATCAGCTGAAGAGGAACATTCACCAAAAACAGAGTCAGTTATTAAAAATTGATAATCTACACTGCGATAGTATGCAGCAGTATAGAAACACTGATACTAATATGTGTGCTGATATTCTCTTGTTCAGGAATACCAGAGGGCAAAGACCAAAAACAGAACATTAGTACACTGCACTATTTTTCTCTACACCAAGAGCCAATGAAAATTTCCATACCTTGGGAATTTTCCCATTCAATCGTTGATCTGAGAAAGGAAGATCGCTAACAAGAATGATCCGCCATAGGCCAATCATGAGGTCTTCACCGATCTTGTGTCCTTCCTCCTCTTGAGCTGCACGAGTGACTTCATCCCAGAAAGCTACATAGCAAACCTAGAAAAAAATCACAAGCATCTGTCAACAAACAGGAAAAAAGCTGAAGATAATAACCTCAAACACAAGATTGACAAGAGACCTTTCTGATGGAGTTTTCGGTCATCTCTATAGGCTGGTGAAGGTCGTCACCTCCACCAAATGCACAAGTTGCAACAACTACTTCACAGGATCTCATGCATTCTTTGTCAACATCAGAAACTCTGAACCCTCCATTTTCATTATAGAAGCCACAGTGCACTGTCACACTTTTCTTCATCTGTAACATTCAGTCACAATACCATAGGAGTGGCATGTATTAAACCATTATAATTAAGATTTTTTTTTCTCGAACCACGCAGGAGAGCTGCGTGTCATTTCATTAAGGTAGAAAAATATGTACACAAGTCCAGAAGGACCCAAACTTGAGTACAAGAACACCACTCACACCAACACCCCAGAAAATAAGCTACAGACGCGCCACAGGCTACTAGAAAAAAACGACAGCGACTACAGGCCTAAAAACCAATGGCCAGCAACCTGGGCATGAGGTCCTGGAGCTTTGAAGCCCCTGCAGAACACCAGAGCCCATTGTAGACAATGCGATATCTACTTGGTGTGAGTGGTAGAAAATGCGATATCTACTTGGTGAGTAGTTGCCAAATGGGAATAGGGAGATACTCCATCCTTTCCAAATTATAAGACGTTTTGGCATTTCTAGATTCATAGCTTTTGCTACGTATCTAGATACATGTTATGTCTAGATACATAGTAAAAGCTATGAATCTAGAAATGCCAAAACGTCTTATAAATTTGGGACGGAGGAAGATGTACCACCTGATATCTAAAGGTTGTAAAATGGAACCAATTGCATATCAGGGTTTCAATGCAACTAAAACAGCTTGAAGTTTCTGAGTAACTAGAACATCTGAGGCGATATCCAAAAACTCACTGAAATTTAAATGCTAAAAAAGTTAACCTTGAAGCTTTCTTCTCGTTCAGTGAGTGTCTGGTATCCTGTGAACGAGTTAAACCGTGAATTCTCTGTATGTGATGGTGTATCATTGTCGATATGAGGCAGACTTGATCTGTACACAACTTCCTTGATTGACAAATTTGTTTCAGGAATTTCTGGAAGCTCCAGATTTTGAAGCTTCTCAGGATCAAGAAACTTCAGGCATGCTGTAAATGCAACAATGCTTTAATTATAAGCAGAGTACAATACATGTCTTAGTTGTTGTATCGTGAGATTCTACAAGTGCAAAGAAGGAAAACAAGAGAAAAGTAAAGGAAACTTTGCTATAACCATAAGAAACCAGAACGATCAGTAAATATGTGAGCTTAAAAGCACTAAACAAGTAGAACAGTTTAGCTTCAGTTTTTGCTAGTCTAGGTCGAAATAGTACAGTATTGTAAATCCCTCTCCAGACTACTTTAGCCAATCGGCATTATTAACAGCTGTTCTAGGTTTTATACATAACCCGAAGAGGAAACAAATCTGAGATTGTTTGTGCCCAACCCTTCAATGTAGCAATATTACATTTACAGATCACAGGTGCATATTACGCGATAACGACTAGAAGTAACAATAAATCAGATAGTATCAAGCACACCACCAAGAATAAAGAGAATACCTCAACATATATAAAACTAACAATGGAACTAAGCAGGTCTACATTTGTATCCTAATAATTATATTAAGACGCGGTCCTATCGACAGGAATTATAAGGGTTTAAGAATCGAGTGTGGGCTTACACTTCCTGGCGCCATCAGCGGCGAGGGCGTTGCGGGAGAGGCGACTGATGTCCGCGAAGGATGGCGGAGGCAGTGTGGAGGAGCGGGAAGGCTTGAGGCGGTAGGACTCGTAGAGGAGGAGGGATACGGCGAGGGCGGCGAGGAGGAGCGGCACGCCCAGCCGCGCGGCGCGGAAGAGGATGCGGCGGCGGCGCGCCGAAGCGGAGACGGGGCCGCGGGAGCGCTTTCGGCGGACGCGGACGCGCACCTTACCGGTGGCCTCGTCGTCGTCGGAGACGGAGATGGAGATGCCTTGGATCAGCGACGACGACGACGGCATGACCGGAGCCCGGAGCTGTGGGGAGTGGGCACGGAGGGGGAGGGCCGGTTGCCTTCACTGGTCTCCAAGGTGCTTTGGGTTGGGTTGGGTTGGGCTGCGGCATTCCGGATGGTATGCTTTTGGGTTGAGTTGGGTTGGGCTGCGCCGTTCCGGATGGTATGCCTTGGCCCACGCAGTGTTTTTCTGTGTTTTTCTCTGTTGGCACTCTTATGCCCATCATGAGCAGTTTTTTCCCTGTGTTTTATTTGTATGAAACCAGGAGTGCTAAAAACGAGCAGATCATGATTCACCGGCTTCCATTCTTCATCTAAAAAAAATCTGCCATTTTCACGGGAGAAAGTTTATACAGGTATTGGGACACTATTTTTTCATACTAAAGAAGTAAAGAATGTTAACCTGGTGTTTTGGGCAAATCGAGTTAACATCCTTTTTTTAAAGAGCACTTTATTCTTACTAGTCTGCTGATTACAAGTTCGCCCAATGCAGAATATACTTGACCAACAGAGTTGGTGAGCAACCTCAAGAAATTTGCTTCAGGAAAAGAATACTATAGATATATCGCGTCCATTAAAGAATTTGCACAACAGTTGACAGAAAAAAAAAAGACTTCTGTGGAAGTGGCAATACAACAACTGCAACAAGTGAACATCCTCAACGCTTTGAGAACTGGGGCCGCTTGCGTGCCTTCTTGAGACCAGCCTTCTTCCTTTCAACAATACGGGTGTCCCTTGTCAGCAAACCTTCTGACTTCAGAGGAACTCTGTTAGCATTGCTGATCTTCACCAACGCACGGGCAACGCCAAGGCAAATTGCCTGGGCCTGGCCTGAGAGACCACCCCCATGTACTTTCACAAAGACATCATAGTTGTTCTCAAACCCTAGAGTCATCAAGGGTACCTTGCAGTACTCCATCCACATTGGATTTCCCTGCAGATACTCCTGCATGTTTAGAAAAAAATCAGCAAGCACAGTTGATCAAATAAACATCTTCAACTAGATCGGTTGTCTTGATTGAAGTTGTGTTTTCAGTTCACATTAATTAATAGGTGTGTTGTGTTGTATACTAATACTTGTGCAAACAAGCCTGATGAGAAAGTGGCTGGAAATGAACCTCTAGGTTGGTGCCTCGGTGGTATGCAATCCTTCAGGCATTTACGAAGTTTATAAACTGACACCATAGTTTGCATTATCTATCCAAATTGCAGATAATATCATGACTGCAATGCAACTGCTTTCTGAAACAGAAAAAGATCTGTGATGGGTCCTTCGTGGAAAGGATCACAGATCAGATAGACAGCACTGAATTTGTACAAATTTTGTGTCCACAGTTCAGACCACGATGGACTCGAATATTTTCTTCCTCAAGCAACTGACAAATGGAATTCAAACACTTTCAGCAAAGACCAATGCCTGCACCTCGCAGGCAAACTAGAAATAACAACCACACAGACCAGCAGGCCAATGACAGCTGCCTCAGTGCCTCCTGCTTTTGAAGTTGACAAAACCAACAAAGATAATGCAAAGAGCCACATAGCTGCTGCCAAGATAGATTTTATATCTAAACTTTGACACTAACCTTGTAAAATGATCCAAAATTTGAAGTAAAACTACATATACGCTAACCACTTTGTCATTCTCGCCAAAATTTTGGTTTTTAAAAGTTTATTACTTCAGCTTGCCAGTTACTTCATTTTTAACTTGAAGCTTTCCATTTGATGTTATCGCCATTTTACTTCTTCCACATTTCTTTCAGAAGTCTTTACCGCCAGGCATCGAAGCTTCAGTGTCTTTGTTCTACTATAAGATGTACGTAATAAGCACATTGGCAGATATCAGTAACAATGATTTGTGCTGCACGATTTTGACCACAACGGTTTAGTTCGTCTCCTGAAATTCTAAGGTGTTAGCCAATTGCAGATTTGCAGGGATAGTACTACAGATTGCAATGCGGCCCAAACGACAAAATGGAGCAACATTGGTGTAATCAGTGCGTGCATTTGTCGGATTGACAGGCACCTTAGCGTCGCGGAAGTTGATGAAGACCTTGCCGGTGCCCTCCTGGAGCACGACGCGGGCGATGGCCGTCTTGCGGCGGCCCGTGGCGGTGATCCGCTGCGCCGCGAACCCGCCCGGCAGCCGCTGCTTCACATACTTCCGCAGCGCGATTCCCGACAGCGCATCCTCCTCCGCCTCCTCCTCGACGGCCACCACCTCCTCCGCGGGCAGGTCCGCCTCGGACGGCTCCGCGGCCTCGGCCGCGGAGGCGCGGAGCGCGAGGCTGGCGGCGCGGCGGGAGGTGGAGCGCAGTCGCAGGAGCGGGGCCGGGTGGGGCTTGGTGGTGGAGGTCGATGGGAGGGAGAGGTGGGAGAGGGCGGCGGCGAGGGAGGAGACGGAGAGCGCCATGCTTCGGCGTGCGCTGATGGGCGAGCGGGCGCTGTGGATAGGGAGCGTCGTGGCGAAGGGGATAAGCTGACGCTGCGCTCTGCAGGTGGCAGCACAGGGCGGGTCTCCGCCGTTGGACCAGAAGCCAAGGGTCGAGATTAGCATGGGATCTTAACTTCTCGTTTCCAAGGACACGAGCCATTAACTTTGTCCTAAGTTAAACATTATTACCGACCAACCATTTTAAAGCATTCTTATAGTTTCACAACATATAAATATATATTATATATTATGAAAGTATTTCTTGTAATGAATCTAAAAACATAATCTGATAACATGAACCTATATATTGAAATCAATTGTCAAAGATATAAAATATTTGGCTTAGGACCCATCTAATGCGACATGTAATAAAAAAACAAAGGGAGTACTAGGGAAATCTATTACATTTTGGGTTTTATTTAATCCAAATTCATGGTAGATCATTGGTATCTTTTAGATGCTCTGCCTAAGAGCCTATGTGGTATGGCTCCGACTTCGTCTTGGGTAGGAGTTTTCTGTGGAGGAACCGGATCTAGGAGAAGTTATTTTTCTAATGAACAGTAGAGGAGCCAGAGCCATTTTAGTTGAGGAGCCGGAGGTGTAAACGCTCCCCTCAAGCGCTCTTCTGAAGAAGCACTACAGAAGGAGTAGAATCAAACATGCCACAAACCTTTGTTATGAACCTCAATTCTTAGTAATCGCATAGGGAAGTCTATTCACTTTTATAAAAACATTGAAAATATAAAAAATCTCATATTTCAGAATAGTTTGCTGTGTGCCCACGGTGCAGCTGCGTAAAAATCTTGTATTTCAAAGAGAACCTTGGCCCTTGAAAGACATTGGCAGGTGCAACATTGTAAAAAAACATTATTAGCTCTAGCAACAACGGTTGGTAATAAGCGACCCCTATGGTTTTAGGGCATTCACAATGCAGAAACTACCGTATAATGATCACTATTTTCTACAAAAATGGCAATACAAATATTGAGAGTGGTGATTTAGGCGATCATGTACAATAATAGAATGATGAATGGTATTAATAAGAATTTAATGTTAAATTGTTATTGTGAGCCTTCTTTATACCTTATCTATCTCCACTTAATGACGAACTAAAACTTTTTTAGGGAACTTGATTACATGCTCCATAATTATATATTTTAAAGAGTACTTCCTCCGTCCTGTAATATAGTATATTCTAGCATTTAGAAATTGTCCTCAAACATAATGCATTCTAAGGACAAAAATCAGTTTTGTATTAAATACTTTCTATTTATCAACCAATCACCATTAATCATGTTGATGATAGTGTTTGATTAGGAAATAAAATGAGGGTACATACTTCTTTTATGTTCTCACTTAATTTCTCTTAAAATTACTAGAATGCACTGTATTACAGGACACAGAGAGTAACTAAATAGTGAGTATTCTCTATGTGGCACTAAGGGCCTGTTTGGTTCTACCCCCTAAAGTTTAGTGACCCCTCTAAAGTTTAGTGACCCCTGTTTGGTTATAGTAACTAAAGACCACTAAAACAATTGTCCCATATACACTTTAGTCACTTTTAGCTACCCCTTGATAACTTTAAAGGCCTCTAAACTTTAGTGGGTGTGTTTGATATTTTAATGACTAAAAATGACTAAAGTTTAAACTTTAGGAGGAGTGAACCAAATAGGCCCTAACATGAAAGCTGCATGCTAACACCCCTCGAGTGGGCCCTTCTTCGGCATTATCTCCTTCCTCCCCTCAATATCCCCTTTCTCAAGTTCTTGTCCGATTCACAATGCCACATTTGACTCAAGCCTAGAGCCTTCGTGCCTCGGCACCACTGTCTCTAACTCAGCTCCTGTAGTGCCAGTGCCATCGACAACCACCAATGCGGATCGATTAGGAGTCAACGCCGCCACTTCCCATCAGCACCACCGCCGCCACCATGCGAACCCTCCTTTAATCGGGCAGCACCAGGTAACTTGGTCGTGAAACCCTCCTAAAACTTGATCAACTATGTTCTTTCCCCTTTTTCTGAATTTGATTCATTTTGATAATAAATATCTTTCAAATCTAGGAGATCTCGATTTAATCGTAACCCAAGAGATCTCTTGATTTAGATTTTAGGATTTTTAATTTTCTTGTTGAAACTTAGGCGTTTACCCCCTCTAGTAGCATCTGGTTTTTACAATCCAATATGCAAAACACTAATCCGCTATTTATTACCTCCAGTGCAAACAATGGGCTAAGGATATATTTGGTAGATAATTCGAAGATCATGAGTGCTGCGAAAACTTTTTATATTTCATTGACAATATCTCTTAGAATGATTGTTGGGGATTCTGTTTTTAAGCAACTAAGGATCTAACGATCCCAATCCTAGAGAAACAAGAAAAGTAAACATGCACAACGACGTTACGATGTCACGGTGATGCATCCATAGGCCACAACGCTGCACAACATTCAATGTCCGTTCCAATTTACAGACGCTTTTGTTTTTCTAGATACATTATTTTTACTATATAATTAGATATAAATGTATATTTAAGTGCATAGCAAAAACTATGTATTTAGAAAAGCCAAAACGTCTTATAAACTTGAATGGAGGGAGTAATTCACTTTTTTTTTGGTAGAAATATTTTTAAATTTAGAATAGTTAAGCACACAAACACATCGCCATGTTAGCAGCGCCACACTTGTTTTACTGAATCTATTAACTGAAGCATCCAATGGTGTCATCGCTACGTATATAGAAAAGCCAAAATATCTTTTAATTTGAAATGGAGAGAGTAATTCTCTTTTTTTGTGGTAGAAATATTTTTAAAATTTAGAACCGTTAAGCACACAAACGCATCGCCATGTTAGCAGCACCACACCTGTTTTCTTTAACGCAATACTGAGTTCTATTAACTGAAGCATCTAATGGTGTCATCGCCTCATCGGTGACTAGGTCCTTTACATGCTGGGGCGTACCATCCACAGAAGGCGCGGTATGTGGAGGCACTTACAACCAATAGAAGTAAGCTCATGAGCTACACTAGTACAAGTTCGGGGGCAATTGTACGTCGATACTCATTCTGTTCCAAATCATAAGTTGTTTTAACTTTTATATATATATAACTTTTGTTACGTACTTAGATATAAGCTATGTCTATACTCTATAAATAGTAAAATTTGTATATTAAAAAATACAAATTGCTCCATCTAAATTTAGCCTATATCCAAATAATCCCCTAAACTAGCAATTGGTTCAATTTACTTCCTCCAAAAAAAGAAAATATTTTAAGGTGTAAATTTGACCAACTGAAAATAGTTGGAGGGAGTAAATTGAACCGAATGCTAGTTTACGAAAAAAAAAATCTTATGCGATGCCTGTCACATAGCACTGGCGTGCGACAGCCTGTGGCTAGCCGACACGTGGCGTAGAAACACGGGCTCGGCATGCTGCCTGCACTGGGGGGACCTGCAAACATGCGCTGAGTCGTGTCGCACGGGAGGTGGTGTGCGACGGCGTCGCCTAAAATTTCTTTCCCTAGTTTACGGGTTATCTGAACATAGATTAAACTTGTGAGAAGTAATTTAGACTTTATGCTATATGAAAAGAAACTAAAACGACTTATAATTTGGAATAGATGGACTAGAAAACATCTCAAAAAATGGTAGGCACAAATTTTTTTTAGGAAGAATGGTAGGCACAACCGCACAAGTGCCTCCACTGACAAAAGAACACTATGAGACCAAGGACAACAAGTTTGGGCCGTGGGCTCTTTAGGTCTAGAAGTAAGGCCGTGAACAAAAGAACATTGTATCAGACCAAGGACAACGAAAAAAAGATTCCATTGCCGGGATTTGAACCCGGGTCGCCTGGGTGAAAGCCAGGTATCCTAACCGGACTAGACGACAATGGATTATGTATTTAACTCGGACAATATATGGTGTTCATAGTGTTGCTCATTCTCCAACACAGTCATACCTGCTGATTACATATGCGTAAAAAAAACCCCTACTCTTTCCGTCCAAAAAATAATGCAATTATAGAATTCGTGCCAATCAAACTAGCTCATAATTAACCAAATTTTTATTTCACATGTTCCAAATTTTAAGACATTTTGGCTTTTTTTAGATACACTGTTTTAGAAATAGTGTATATATGCATAGTAAAAGCTACGGATGTTGAAAAATCAAAATATATCTTATAATTTGTTAAGAAAATATATTCTATACTTAATTTAATGATATCTATTTTGTATTATAAATGTTAGTACTTTTTATATAATTTTGATCAAAGTTCAAATCATTTGATTCCTTGAAAAACAAGAATAGTATTCTTTCTATGGTTTTTGAATAAATTTATTATAAAAATATGTTTTCTAATTAATTTAGTGATACTTATTTTATATTAAATGTTAATATTTTTATATAATTTCAATCAATCATATGATTTCTAAAAAAACGAGAACCACGTTCTTTTGGACGGACAGAGTACACCGACTCGGGATCGAAGGATGATTAGTTTAGACCGGCTGCGTGCCGCACTCTCCAAATGGACCTATCCATATCCATATCCACACCCACCCATCACCGTTCACAAAAACACACAATCAGTAGCAGCCGGAAGTGCCAAGCGCGCAAGAACACAAGACGGCGCATGGGCATGGGCGGCATGGCAGTCGGCAGCACGCAAACAACAAGGCAAGGTGTGCCTGCCTGGCCTAGCTTTTGTTACGTGCCGGGCTCTGCGGTCACAGAAGCCGCACGGCAGCACGAGGGCGAGCGCCTGCACGCGCGCGAGAGATCCCGATCGAGGGAGCACCGCACCGGCACCGGCACGCGCAGGCAGTGATCGAGGACTGGAGCACGGGCGCGCCGCGAAATGATGGCCCCATGCACGGGCCCGCACCGGCGCCCTGCTCACCGCCCCGTCGACCGTCGTACGCGCCTGCGCGGCTGCGCCTGGCCACCCTGCCGCCTGACCCATGTGTCTCACCTTTTCT